GAAATACCTCATCTGCAAGACGTCTTCATACTTCCAATATTTTTCGGCTTCATTTAAACGATGTCTTACTTTGAGGATCTGCTGGTACTGCACTTTATCAATTATCTTAAAAAGCAAAAAATTTTCGACAAAATGAATTTAGACCAGAAACTCAACCCTGTCTTTTCTCTTGCAAACAACAGCAAAATTCTGAGATAACTCCAATATCTACTATGTACTACTAAATAATTCTACCTAAAAACATAAGGGCATCATTACCTGACACTGTTTCTGCACACCAGTCTCCAAATGAGTGGCATAAAGATCTTTACCAGGGCCAATAAAGCTGTAGCCGAAGCGGACTTTCCCATTTAATTCTGGTGAATAGCGATCTGCCTGCAAATAATTTTAACAGTGCATGTTTTCAAGCCTCATGCTTCCCCCTAACTAAATGTCGTTACTCTTAAAAAAAAAAAAAAAAAAAATGCAGATTTTTACCTGCGGACTCCACTCACGATCTGAAGTTGACCCAGGATATCTGGCACCATCAGCCAATTCATTCAATGGTTCAAGATGATCAGACGAACAAAATCTTTTCTTAACATCATCAGTTCTCTCATCATCACTTTCGTCTAACCTTCTTCCATCCCTCCCTGAAAAAGGACCGGTGAAATAATCCCGGCCACTAGTTCCTGAACTGAGGGGATTTGTAAACAAAATGCCCAAACAGTAAATGAACAGAATGACCTTGCCCACGATAACCTAAGATTATAAAACAGGAAACAAAAAAAAAAAAAAAAGCTAGAAAAACCACGTTACGACTAACCACGAGCTAACGTAGTAGTAATCCTTAAGTCATTTGCACCAAATTCTATACGCTTTATAGACAGTGCTGCTTTACGATTGCAACGTACTGTTCTTTTTCGTGGTAAATCACCGGTACTACGTGTTGAACAACTGTTAGCAACATCAATAACGACAGAGGACGAAGTTGAACACCCTGGTATTACTGCAGCCGTTGACATTAGACACTTGTCTGAAAAAATAAACCATTAACGAAACGTCTGTGATTTTATTTTGACTCTTCCCACTACAGGAAATATAATCATTTTGTAATCTTTTATTAATGCTTACAATTATAAAATGGCTGAATGACTAATCAAATTTCAAAACAAAGCACAAACCAATAAAAGATAACACAAATAACTAGCAAATTGCAAACTGTGTAATTTTTCAAGACAACATGAAAACTTGCTTGCTATGCTACAAAAACAACTATTTCTCTATATATCTTATAGCCGTTACAGCGGGAGACCAGTGAAAAACTAACCAGTAATCAACACGACGAAGGTGACTAGGAGAGAGGCTCCGTTGGATGCAGTAATATTGAAATTCTTGAGGATGCATACACAGCTCCCCCTCCTAAACGGCCATTTTCCTCGCAGCAACAAGGTTTAATAAATCAAGAATAAATCGGAATTTGGTCTCCTATAATAGATTAGGATGAAAAGCCAATTCGGAGCATTGCAACCTCATATTTTAAAAGCAATATTCCAACGCTTTAATGAAACACGTATTTTTTATTGTAATAAAAAAGCAAACAATGAATTCAGCTTTTTTCCCGTACAAACATGTGACTTACTGGACGGCTACTAGCAATGACCAATGAAAATACCAGATACCAGTAGAAAATATTTATTATACGCTGATTAAAAGCAAAATCGTTACGTTGGAAGCAATAAATGATGGGCCTAACAAGCCGTACAGAAACGAAAAAAAACTGTTTGCACAAAACCGCCGCAAAAATAGTTCCAATTTAAGTAACGACTAGATGACGCCAGAAACTGCCATCAAACTTAGGCTGTACAGTTAAGCGTCCAAGTAAAACAAAATGACACGTAGGAGATGGACGAACCAATTCTTTCAAACATATTTCCCGAACACTAAAGACGGTCCCGTAACACAGCAAGGTAAAAAAAAA